GTTGCGTCCATCACTAAGAGAAGGTTTTATACTGAGGGAGCTCCAGAGGTGGAATGAATCTCTCCAGCCTGCCCTTTGTAGCGCTTGTTTTCCAGCCTACACCCTTGACTGAGAGCTGAAAACAACACTAGAGCATCCTCCTAAGGTAAACAGTGTCTGAAATGCAAGCACTTCCCTATGACAGACTTGGAAGAACACCACTAATAGACTCTTACATGGAAAAATCTCCCAGTGCTCCAAGTGGATATTTTCCCCAGGAAAGACTTCAGAGGTTGGCTGTGCACTTTCAGAGGATTTAAGGCCTGGATGGACTTAAACATGGACAATGAAACAGAACTGAGCATCAGTCCCCCAGTTGAGTGGAAATATCCTTCAGAAAGCCATGGAGTTTCGACAGGAAATTCACCAGTCCCAACAGGAACCCTTCCAGTGCCTAATCACCTCCACTCTCCAAACTGCATGAGTGGAAAACTTACTAAAGTCTTAATTTTCCTGGCTTTAATCTCAGTTATTTGATCTGTTTTGTGTTTGGTTTTGCTACAGCTTTGGCCACATTATAAGCCTTCAGGTAACTTCTTCACTACACCAAGTATTTGACAAGTTAATAAACTGACCTGGCTCCCATTGTTAAAAACCATTATTTCCCAGACCTCAGCTCATCCCTTCAAGTCTTTTGAACCCACTTGAATTTCTCTCCATCTTTTCACTGGACAGAGCACTCCAGCACAAGGCTTACCAAGAAAATACATGGAGGTCATCCCAATTGCTTGTAGTTTATCACATCCTTTAGTAGGGATTCAAGTACGTTCTGTGTGGCCTCCTCAGAGGAACAAAACACTTCTTGGTTTGGTTTGGTTTGGTTTGAGGGGGGGGTTGGTTTGTTTTTTAGCTTTTTAATTAAAAAGCCCCACTCAAACTCCAGTGTTGTTGGTGATGGGAAAATGAATCACTGCTGATATTATTCCCTTTGTGCTGCTTGAATGAGTAAAAGTGCTTGCAGCAAGAGAAGGATGAGTTGAGGGGAAGTAAATCCAGAGAATGGATGTGTGTGCGTATGTGTGCACAGGGGGAGGCTCCTGGGGGATATTTGTCTTGTCTGTGCGTATATGGACTTCTGGAATATCCAAGTCCTATAGACAAACTATACAAGCCCCCAAACTAACTTGGAAACTTAAACCCGAGTCAATTATGGGGTTTGCAAAACCAGCAGATCAGCTGAGATTGAGTTTAATGAAGTGCTGAATCCAAATATAAAATCAATCACCTGTTGGTTTATTACATTATTTATTGCCCCTCTATATTACAGGTGCCAGGCTGAGAAATTAGCTATTATTTGTAGGTGTTATACATATCTAAATTAAACTGGGTATTATATATAGCTCTGTACACAACATGTCTGTGACACTGCTATTTTTCTTGGACAGAATGCCTGCAAAACGCCTAGCCCAAGACTACTTGAGTTGGCAAGAAAACAATTAGTTGCAGCAAGTTGAAACTTCTGTCAACTCTATGGAATTAGAAGGCAGAAGGCTGTGCCCCTCAGTATTTCTATTACATGGATTAGAGGGGGAAAGGAATCGAGAATTAACACTGGAAATGTTTAAATATGCCAGATGCATGGTGATTGTAAAGTGCTGCTACGAGTTACAGCAAGGGAAAGGTGTTGCTTTCAGATTTAGAAATGCTTACTACAGCCTAACCTCTTTGTCAACACATTTGCAACATCCATTTCTAAATGAATTACCTTATGGAGGAAACCAAAAGGCAGAAAACTAAAGAAATAGGGGTCAAATTCCTCCTGTGAGATCTACCTTGTAAAATTATCCAGAATGTAATAATACCATGTTATTGACTTAAGCACAGTTCCCTGTGACATGCTGCAGCTGACCTGTAATTTTTATCCTACATGTTGCCAGCACTATTAAAATGACACTTGTGAATGTAAATTAAGCTCACAAAGGGGACAGATTGTATGATTCTGGTTTCTCTCAGATGCCTGTAGGCTATCACAGGTTCCATATGTGAAGTAATTATGTTCACTGAAGGAAAGAATAAATGCTGTCAAATTGTGTACTGAGAGAGAAAGCAGCTATTATATTGCAGTAGTCACTGGAGCATTGCCTCAGAAAGTGGAAAGACGTATAAGAAAATAATAAAAAAGAAAAACTGGAGCAGAGCTATATTAAATATAACCTTTAAATGAGTATCTGCTTTTGAATATATCTTACACAAAGTTAATATATCACAAATAAAAGCGTTTCGGCCCTTTCATCCTATTTTTCTTCCTCACATCTAGAGGGAATAAGGCAGACTATTTATCGGGGGGTAAAGGACAGATAAAGCAACACCTTCTGCAAACCCTGAGTAAGGGCAATGAGGCTGGGCAAGGGCACTGCCAATGACTGTACAACCCAAGCACCAGGCTGCAGCAGCACTGCAGAAGATGTGGCTTCAATCATGGAAGCCAACAGAGCTGCTAAAAGGAAAAGCAACGTTACCATCACCTCCACAGTGCTGTTCTGCTCTCCTGGAGGAGGTGAGCCTAGATGTAGACCAGCAAGATCATCAAAGAGTGCTGTTCTGCTTTGACTAACACCTCTCCCTGGAGTCTATGTTCACGGGAGGACTACCAACCAAATCCCTGAGTCCACATCAGCAGTAACAAGAGATTAGGTACTAGCACTGCTATGTCCCGTCAAAGCCACAGCTTGTAGAAGACCATTCCATTTACAGACTATATCTGCTTTTGTGAAAATAGAAACTATGAGATTTTGGGGGGGGGGGGGGGGTTGCTTAGGTTAAAAGATCAGCCAGGAGGCTTCTGCAGTCTTTGCATGTAACTGCACACCGCACTGAAGAAAAGGGCCCCCACTTGCACCATCAGATACAGCTCACATCTCTTTACCTAAACTCTCTATAGGTTAAACTAGGGCAGTTACATCTGAGTTGCCCATCAGGAACAGTGCTTGGCACATACTGCCCCTGCTTATCCTCTGTGTGCCCGGAAGCAAGGATCAGCCTGCTCCAGCCCTGCCTGATTGAAAGGGCTCCCAAATCACTTTGGTTTCTCCACCCCAGCACTGCGAAGAAAGTAAGGCCTCACCTCATGTCCTTATTTCAGCCACTGCTTTCCCACCTCCGTTTCTAAGGTAAGAGCAAACAGCACATGGATCCCAGCAGGGATGCACAGGGTACACGATTCCTATTCCAACCCCACCACAGCCCCAGCCCTGCTCACTCCCCAGCCACTTACCTCCGCAGTGCCAAACCTGGCAGGGAATTCCCACTAACGGTCCTCAGGAAAAACAACTCATCACCTCTTTGTTCAAGGCTGGCTTGGTAAGGAGAAGACTGTGAGCACAGCACAGAGCTGTGTTCAGACACAGACACAAGTGCAGACCCAACTCTGCCATCCCTTGCACTAGCCCTCCTCTCTCCTTCCCCACCCTTACAGCTCATACTGGCTCCTGCAGGCTTCAAAAGTAGATTATGGCTAGCTGCTCTTTTATTCCTACCCATGTATTTCTATTCCTAGCCTACTATTGCTATCCATGTATTCCTATCGATTCAAGTACTGGGCCAAGCTGCAAAGGGGGCTGAAATCCTCCTCAAGACCCCATAGCCATGCCATGCTCCCCACTGGATGTCACCCAGTGGTTCAGACCCCTTGCCCTGCCATGCACTTCCAGCCTGCAGCACGCTTCCACAAAGCCCCTCAGGATCCTAGGGATGCATGCACCCTGCCGAAGTCCTTCCCAGGCAACTTCTGGGGTGCGTGAGGGTGCCTGTGCATAAATGAAACACTGCATCGCACAGACTATTAATACCAATTGGTCCCAGATGGGCGGGCAGTTAGATGGGCAGACAGGCAGCCTGCCTGTTTTCAATCAAACACAGTAGCAGTTGTACAACACACTACAGCTTCTTCTTCCTTAAATAAAAAGCGGAAATCCACTGCCATTTCCTAAGCAGCTCCAAACTATTCAACGACTGTTTGCAGGGTAGCGTGTGTCATATGTGGGAGGCTGAAATGGAATGTAGTAATGTGAGGGTGTTTTCCAGTTGGCAGCATTGACAGCACCTATAATGTATGACTCTCTTGGATGCAGTGTGGCAGAAGCAGGGTGAGAAGCATCCAGTGCTATTCACTAGAGAAACTGTTACACATAAAAATAGAAGGCAGAATCAATGAGCTCAGGATCATGGCAGGAAGGAGGGAGAAAAAAGGGAAAGGCGGGGTTTGCTCTTGCGGTTTTAATAAGGATTTGTGGGGTAATGTTGTGCAAAGGTAATAGAGCTGGATCTTTAATAACAATAACTAGAACCAACTCTCTATGTTAACTGACCTTTAAATACTATTGTCCCTTTCAGTTTACCAAAAAGACACTTACTTCATGAAAGATGTTATTCAACTCTGCTTAAAGATCCAATAGGCTAAAATATGCTAAAGTGACACTTAGAATTATCTCATAACCCCTTTTTAGGATAACTTGCATTATTTCCATGTGATTTGAATGTGATTTTTTTTTCTTTGTTTTTAAATGTATTTTGAAACCATTTCAAATAATAGGCAGATATTGCCTGGACATTCAGGTTATCTGTAATGATACTAGGGTCTTTCTCAACAGCTGAGTAATTAGTTCCTTATTACGCTCAAGGTAAGTTGCTTACACCCTGCTCAAGATTTAAACCTCCACCGCACAGGCAAAGGCAGCATTCAGACTGACATTTTACATACCTAACTGCATTTCTTATAGTAAGGACAGCATCCATGGTATGGTATACTGCCTTGAGAAGTTGTGAAATGAAGACAACCTGGAGCACCAGAGAATAAATACTACTAATAAAGAAGGTCTGTTGTGGAGGGAGGAGAAAGGCAGCACTTTTAAATGCTACATTTTCTCATCCTGCAGCACCACTTTCCACCCCAGGGGCCTGCCTGCCGCTGGCTAATGTCTGTTATAGCCCAGCTACCTCAGCATCTGGTGGGAGAAATGTACCTTTTCCCAGGCATTCTTCAGCTCCAAAAGGAAGGAAAAGCGGCACAGATTGCGGACGTGCTGAGAATGTGGATAAGTGGAGACGTGGTAAAGTAACACATGATAATAAACATCATCCAGCAATCCACTTCTGGTTATAGTCTTCTGGCACTCCTGGTTATAGTCCTTCATAATGAAAGAGAAATGAATGGTCATTTACGTGACAAAACACTGTTAAATGATTAAAAGAAACACACACACAATCAGCAAAGAACTGAAGTGGAAGCTATAAATAAAACCAACAACCTCTTGTGAGAGTTTGAGCATTCTGTGATTTCAGCAAAACCAAAAGCAGCAAAGACAGAAGGGACAAATTAAGTAGGAAGAGGAAGGAGGTTAATTTCATAAATAAAGCCTGTAATATTGTCTAAAAACAAATGCTAGTTACAATGCGCTCATTGGCTGTGCTTTGGTTTAAGTCGGCTCTTATTTCACCCCCACTATTTTTAACGTTAGGAATCTAAAGCAGACAAACCTCATTTTTAATTAACTAGTACAGCTCATTTCAATGGAGCTAGCAGCAAAGTAGATGCAAAATCTAAGCAGAAGACTTCAGTAAAATGCTTGAGATAATCAGAGCATACCTAGCTGATGCATAGCTCCTACAGAAAGACACACTACTTACTTACCAGTTTTGCATCTTCCAGTGAATTAACAACAAGAAGTATTATTTCTTTCCTGATTCCAACAACTGTTCAGTGAGCTTTGGTAAATTCTAGGTCAGATATTACACACTTGACAACAGAAACAGTGCATTACGTTAGAAATCTGCAGCGATAAGAAAACCACACAGTAAATACATTATATCCAGGCAACAGCAGAAGGTAAGTTTGCATTTCATTTGCTGTGGGTTGCATAAGTTGGTAAGTGTTTTCTGGCAAGTGTCCTTCAAATCCCCAAAATAATGCATCTATTTTATGGCATTATCTCATTCTCTATTATATTTGTTTGTAGCTCTGCAGTGAAACCATATTGTTATTAAGGGTATCATTACACTAGAAAATTGCACTACCTTTTAAAACCCTGCTCTATTTTATGTGTATATAAATAGGAACATTATGACCATGTGAGATTCCTGTTTGTCCTTGCTATACTCTTGACACTGCTATAAATGCAAGCAGAGCACCAGGCCCGAAATATTGCCCCTTTGATTAGCTACACAGACATCTTTTTTTTTTTGTTCTCAGCATGCAAAACCTAGTCCTGCTGGTTATGTCCTCAAAACAGTGCCAACATTGTGTTTCCTTTACCTTTGACCACCAAGATGGGCCTCTGTGCATCTGTATTTGTACAGTATGGTGATGGCAAATCACTCAACAGAGTGACCGGGGTTAGAAGATACTGAAGTGGGTAATGGCAGAGAGAGGTGTCCACAGGGTGAGGAATGCTGTCACTCTCAGGCAGGATCCTGAAAGGGTTGGGTGATACACGATGCTCTCCTAGGATGCAGGTTGTGCAACTGTTTCTCAAAGTGAGTGCAGAAACCCACTGTGAGCACCAAAATGCCTCCCTAAGGACAGGAGGAGCCTATCCACCTGTAAATCCAGCCCTCTCACCCATAGCTCAGGAGCAACCAGCCAGGTTGAGGATGGATGCATGGATCAAGGCAGCTCTGGCAAGGTGATGCAGATGCAGCGCAGGAAGGGGCACTGCTGTGGTAGTGTCTGCATGGCCACACGCATGTAACACTGCGATGCTCTGACATGGGTGTACCATGTAATCAGGGCTGAAGTCTAGTGCTATGCTCTGAGAAAGCCCAGAAAGGCCTGGTCTAAAAAGTTCTCTGAATCAGTGCAATTACAATATTAAGCACAATCTATGGAACTAATGTGGAATGAAATACAAATTCTCTGTTTATATAGGAAGCACTGAATGACAGTAAGTCAGCAACAGCCACTTTGCTCTGGTTTAACTACCTAACATCTGGAGAACATTATTAGGGCCATCAGCCATTTGGCCAGTGCCCAATATGGAAGCAGTTTTACCTTCTTCCCTCTAAAGATCAGCACAGCCGTAACAAAACATGTGTATTTCTCTTTCCTCTTTTTGAAACGTTCTCTGAAGTTGTTCCAATACTGCAGAATTTAGCTGGGATAAGCCACTCATTTCTGGTTAGAAAGCAAACAGAATTGGAGCAAAATAAGAGGCCAATTTGAAACATTTAATTTAAAGCAAAGACAGTGCTGCTTATGAGAGTCCATGGTAAAGGCAGTTGTTCCAGCTATTTAAACCATATGATGATGTGGCATTTCACAGTATAGAAGACACAGACTACTAGAAAGCCGAAAACAGTATTCCCCTTGTTCCTATATAAATATGTACACGTAACCTATCACTGGCTACTCCCAAACTTATATGAAGTGTAATTTGGTTGTTATTGCAGTCACTGCGCTTGAAAAGAACCTTTCTTACTCATGAAGAATCCTCTTTTTTTCCTTCTTTCTTTTTTTTCCTATTGTAATGAAAAAACACAGTTGTCAGCATAATATCCTGACATTCCGGATGCCAGCCTGTCTCCACTGGAGTCAGATGTGAAAATAAATAGATATTAAACTGTCAGTCAATGAAATTACAAAGTCAAGAGCGGCTCTAGCTGTGATCCTGTGTGTTCTGTTTGATGGACACAGGTGTTTAAGTGTTATGAAATCCAGCAGAGCCTCTGAGTGAATAATGCACCTTCCAGCAGCCCTGCCTTAGCCGAAAGAGCTCCCCTCTCACCCTGAGGCCCCCAAGCAATTGATGTGCCCTAAGAAAGGGGACAGAAAGGCCTTCAAGGTTTATCAGAGCTAAAATCTGAGAAGCCTTAAAGCCTGTGTTGTGGCATATGTTGAGGAATTGAAGCTGCGCTCCTCTGAAACTGTGAAGGTTAGTCCCACCGGCTTTGCATACAAATCTAAGGCAGATGCCCAAAATCCACATCGTTTATTTATTATTCATACGGCACTTAAAGTCAATCATCTGTCACTAATAAACATTAACACCATTAAAAATTAATGATCATCCTACAGCATGCTGAGACAGATTCTTCTTTCTGTTTGATGAGTATTGGAGCAAAGTGTATCGCTTTCATTTACTGACTCTTAAAAGTGTTTATGCTTTGTATAATGCTGCTGCTTCAGCTCCTCCTCCAAACACCAGTGACCCCATTCTCTTGGGATGCCAAGAAATGATCGGTCTCGTGAGAGGAGCCTGAAAGGATGGGTTTAGGTATAAATATGGATCTGCAGAGGAGAAAAATAAGTCATGGATTCGAGGTTATCACACAGCAAAAAGCCTTTATGATTACAAGGCTTTTTGTCTCCCTTCCCATTCCCTGCTAAATAGTCCGATGATGGGGGACGTGTGTCCCTGTGCTCTCTGCTGTATCAGGTACATAACTTAAGTGGACAATGAGGTTAGAAGTAACAGCTCTGACGAGACTATCTGAGAGCCTCACAAGCTAGAACAAGAAAAGGCTTCCTGAAGAGCAACTCAAAAAGGCAACTTCACCAAAGGTCCACACAGTGTCGCAGGGCACTTTCTTCTCTTAGTGGGTGGGAGGCAAAGCCCACTGCTAGAGATGAAGAAACAGCTTGCACCTTAACCCACAACGGGACATTCCCTCTAAAAGCAGAAATGATCCTAGAGCCTTCATCTCTTGTGTTCACATTTTCAAACATAGATCTTGGGGAATACGTTTTCCCCTCGCCTTGATCACATTTCTGTCTTGCAGAGGCAGAGCTCCTAACTCAACGCTGTTTCCTAACACGCACACAGTGTGTTTTGCCCTGCTCCTCATTTTAGCAATTACTTAATTGTGGGACTGCTGTAAGTATATCATAAATAATTGCTTGATACACAGGTGATTCTGCTAAAATCCAGGCAAATTAATTAAATCTGTATTAAAGACCAGTAGAAAAGAAGAGCCAGTATGTCTGTATGCATCAAATCAAACCAACCTCAAATTTCTTTGAGTCACATCAAATCTCTAAAAACAAGCTAAATTTAAGGCCTCAGTACTAATGATGTAATGGGAAAACATGACAAGATGGGAGACATCGACCTTCCTCTTCCAATTTACACTCTAATATTTTAGTGCCAAACTGTTTTACACAGAAAAACAGTGACTGTTAAGAAATAGATCTGTAAGTAGAAATTAGCAACTGCAATCACCCTGATTTCTTTCCTTCCTCATGTTTCACATGAAATAACTAACGGGGATTTGCAAAGAGCAGCTTTGTCAGAGCTAGAAACAGAAAAACCGACTGGAAAAGCATGATGCCCCAGCACCACACTCCCTCCACTGAGGACTGCAAAGAGTTCGTATTATATATGTACTCACTGCCTTTGTATCAGCTGGCAAGGCGTGGAACTAGATCATCTTTGAGGTCCCTTCCAACTTTAGGGCACCAAATCCTGGTCCCGCAGTCGCACACACCAAGAAGTCCCACTGAACCTGGAATTACACAGATTTGAGCAGAATTAAGGTACACAACCTTCTAACTGCCAGGCTCAAGACTGATGTGAACAGTAAGTTTAAGTCATACCACCCTGCCCTGCTGCCCGTTCTTCACTGCCAACAGCCTGCTTCCTGATTTGTCTCATTTTTATCTTAAAATTCATGCACTGTCAAGCCAAGTTCCTTTCATAAGGAAAGCAGGAATTACAGGCAAGCAAAAATACATTAAAGCATCATTATTCAAACCTAAAAATGCAATGAAAATGTTAACCGGTTTTTCCCTAAGGTGAAGGTGTTTATGGCTAAGTTTTTGGAGCACAATTACATTCAAACAGACAAATGCCAGCTTAAAATAGAGCATTTCTTTTTCTGACTCTACCTGGGAAAAATGGAAAAGCACCTTCAAAGTACATTATCTCATACCAAATGTTTACCCTAAAAACCTTAAAAACGTTAGGGTTTGGGGATAATTCTAGGAAAAACAGGCAGTTAAAACACAGTGCCTTATTTTCCCTTCTTACACTGAATACCTTGCACTGGCTTTCTTCAGTGGGTAAGTTCGGAATCCCACAAGGCCTGGGAACTGCAGGGCCAGTGAAGCTGAACCGTGTTTGAGATGGGGCAATGATAAGCGTGACACAGGCTACCATCAGCAGCAGTGCAAGCGGATCTGGAGGCCCATACAGGTTATATATAGCCAGAGACCTCCTGTGGGCTTCTGGCATGAATGACACTGTGAAAAACCTAGGTCACATCAGCAGGAGGTGATGTGGTCCATACTGGGCCACAAGAAACAGCAACTCTGCAGCCCTAGCATTTATAAACGCAACTGAGGGCTGTTATCTGTCTCTTTCATATGACTGCTGGACCACAGACTTCAGGCCATCTGCCTGCAGTCTATTATCACAGTCTGCAGGGGAATAAAAGCCAGAAAACAAGCAAAAAGCAAACAACAAAAATGTGGTCAACCATTGCACGGGAGATGAAGCTTCTTGGGTGGTGGGCTTGCTGTTGCTGAGCAGAGAGTGGCAATGTGCGGTTTGTCAGTGCTGCCTGGCATCTGTAGACCAGGGATGCAGCAAGGGACTATCCCTCTCACAGAATGCTGCTGAATCCCTTCTGGGCTCATGCTGTTACCATGAAGCTGGGGAAAGGTTAGGTCTTGGGGTTTTACCCTCTCTTTACCCCTGCTTCCATTACATGGTCATCATTTTGGAGCTGAGCCTCTCTACACGCAGCCCACCCATTGACTTAGGACAGCTCGGATCCAGACTGAGCAGGCTCTGCTACTGGGATGTCACCTTTGGTGAGCCGTGCTTCACTCCACTAACCAAGGGTCAGGTAGGGAATGGGCTGGAGTCCTGTGTACTGAATGGCCCAAGGAGAGTAGGAGGCAACCACCTCCCAGTGCTGGGTAGGGTGAGGGTGAGAAGTGATGCTGCTGCTTCCACTGTGGGACAGTCCCAGTTTAACCAGTGCTGTGGTCCCTAAGAGTCCTGCTTTCCCCAGGTTCCTGTATCATGCTCCAGGTGGGATTCTCCAAGGATCCCCCCAGATGGGATGGAGGAGCTGCACAGCGCGGGACAGCATTGCTGGGCTGAGCCAGCACAATTCAACACTTGAAGAGCAATAAAAACCCTGCACATACAAACACCCTGCATAAGGCTTCAGCTTCGTCTGACTAATTAGTGGCTTCTTACAACAGGGAAACAGTACAGAAAGTAAAAACCCCACTGCCTTAAAACAACAGCTACTCTCAACTCATTTCTAATTTATGCATTCTTGTCATATGAAAGCCACTTGCTTAAGCTGCTTTCCTATCTATTTGCAGTCTATTCAGACACACAATGCTCCATGGGGGTCTGTCTCCATGATTCATTGGCTCAGATTTCCTATGGAGTTTACATGATGTCTACTAAGCCCCATACAGTTTTGTATCCATTATAAGCAGGGACAAGCAAGCAGGGCTCAGGAGGCTGAGCATCCATCTAAGAATAGCTTCCTGTCTCCCAGCTCTCTTCACAACAAATGAACAATGCTTACATTTCACAGGCTAGCACTGCACAGTGAAGGGAAATTATAGGAACTTGTCTGAGTTAAATAAGGGAAGAAGCATTTAGAGTGAAGCTCCTTAAATGAGCAGGTCAATAACTAGTTTACTGAGACCAAGGCACATAGCTAATGAGAGAATAAAGAATTATTCTTGTCAAGAGAGAAAAAGATGCTGCCCTGGTTTTGTGCTAAATAATTACATTCATTATGTTTAGGACAGCCCTGCAAGTGGTCTTTTGCACTAGTAAATTCATTAGCAAAGCTAATAGGCAAACTACTATTGGGGCAAATTTAAACGATTGCAGTAGGATGGATGGTAAAGATGGGGAAAGGCAGTATGAGAGCTAAGAGCCAAAGTTAGCTGCAAGTATAATTGAATTTATCTTCTCATCAACTTTAAGGCCTCCTCCTGGGCTTGAAACAAGGAGAGGAAAAGCCATTGAAACGAAAGGATATTCACTTGATTGGATTTGTTGCTGTTTTCAAGCTTACCAAGCTATCTAAACTGACCTCTTGACACATGACAACAATTATAAATCCAACGAAAATTAACGCATTAACTAAATTGGCTCAATGTTTCCAAATGACAAAGGATCTCCAATGTGTCAGGAAGCCATCTCCCCAGCAGAAACACTGAACAAGTGAATCTGTGGCTTTGAATTTACCCACAAGTTCATGGTACTCAGCTGGGCAGCATGAAGCATCTCCAGGCAACAGTCTAGGCAAGAGTGACTGCAGCACTGCCCTGGGCAGCCTGTTCCAATGTCTGAGCACCCTCTGGGGAAGGAATTGTTCCTCAGCTCCATCTAAACCTGCCTTGGTGCAGCTTGAGGCCATTTCCCCTTATCCCATCCTTCATTCCTTGGTAGCAGAGACTGACCCCACCTCACTACAACCTCAATGTCCCTCTTGTAGTGAGGGGCCCAGAGCTGAACACAGGATTCAAAGTGCAGCCTCACCCGTGTCCAGTGCAAGGGGATGACCATGTACAGCCATGCGGCCTCTCTGGTACCCCGATTCAGGCTGGCTATGTATTCATGCAGAAACCACTGGTGTTAGGTATGGTTAACTAAGGGTTTCCTCACAGATACGTTTTTAAACAAGGAGGTTAGAGTCTGATAAACTCACTGAATGAGCTGTGGGCACAAGTACTTCTTTAATCATGCCCTGCCTAAACCGTAACCACAGGCGCTTCATAGATACAAATGGAGCACATCAAGGTGAGGTAGAAAATGATGGAAATTAATTTAGCGAGCCTGTGGAGCACAGTATTAACACGTGTAGGACAGAGCAGACCACTGATGGTGCTTAGAGCAGTGTTGGCACCGAGCACCATTTCCAGGCAGGACTACATGGCCTCTGCCCCATAGGGTTGCCTTCGCCTTATGTTACAGGGGAATGGAGATGACTCACATTGTTGGGCTCACTACAGGACACAGCTTTGGCTGAAAGAGTGAAAGGGATTTCTTTCTTTCAGTGTTAAAATAGTCTTTAAAAGTAAGATTCCAAAATGTTGTGGTTTTCTCTTCTAAAAGTAACTTTACCCCTATGAAACGAAAATGTGTTTTGATTGACAAATATACTTACTAAAAAAAAAAAGAATGGGGAAAAAATCATCCAATATTTAAGCTCTTTGCTTTGGATGTAGAATAAAAATACCTTTTTTACCTTTTTCTTTTGTTAACCTGGCAAAAAACTTCTTAAACTCTCTGACTGAACTGCATTGGGTTCGGTTTTGCCGCTGGACCAGACAGCTATTACATATCAAACTGTGCTGAGCTGTTCTAAATGGACACTCAGCGTATTAGCTAAAGGCATCCAAAAAGTAGCTTTTCAGTAATAGAATTTGGGAAAGACAGCAATGAAGTAGCTGCAATGAAGCCTGTATTTGAAAGAAAAAGGAAAAGGGGAAAAAAATAATAAAAAAATAAGAAAAAATATCTCCTTTGCCAAGTGGAAATGGGAATAAATGTTCTTGGCTACTGCTGCAGCCTGAAAAGCCAGAAGGAGCCTGAGGCTCCCCAGCAAACCTAGTCTAGAAACTTCCTCAGCTGATCTCTTATTTGTGCTGGCTAGTTGCCTTATCCAGCCAAGTTAGAAATTCAGGATCTAAGTCTCTGTGGGAAATGGGAAAGACAGATCTATTGTATGCCTGCAGGAAGACATCCAGGGAATTAAGTGTCTTTACCTAAATGAAAGACTGGGGAAATGCTTGCCACCCTTGTCATTTCAGCAAGAGCTGATCCCTTCCTTCTGGCCATCATGGTCCACCCCCTCTGACAGCAGGTCTGGGCTGTGACATGAAAGGCTGGAGATCCCGAAGAGCCACAACACCTCTGTCCATTGCCAAAAGAACATCAGTGACCGTCAGCCTTCTCCCCCAGCCCCCTTCTTTCATGCATCTACAGCCTTCCAAAACCAGACTGAAAAGGGGAGAAAAAACAATCCTGAGGTCTCCAGATAATGATAAAGATTCCTTCTGAATGGATTTCTGAATAATCATGTCCACAGGGAAGATGAAAACTGCTACATCCCATCCCTGGCAGTGTTCAAGGCCAGGCTGGATGGGGCTTGGAGCAACCTGCTCTAGTGGAAGGCATCCATGCCCGAGGCAGGGGTTTGAACTGGATGAGCTTTAAGCTCCTTTCCAACCCAAACCATTCTAGGATAAACCTGGAAGAGAATTGTTAAGAGTATGAGAAGGGTGTCAAGAGGTGTTTTACTGAGGACAGGCCTTAAGCATGGGCTTGGGAGAAGTTGTCACCTTGTTCTCTCAAAGGTCAAGACCAGGCCAGGTCTTCCTCCCTAGCTGTTTGCAGTTATTAAGTAGTACAAAGACATGATGCAATCTTTCTCTTTTTAAAGTCTAAGAAGTTTAATTATATGGCTGTTCTAGAGTTGTGATGGTCAGAAATGTGACTAGAAATGTCATCATGTTCTGCACT